TTATAGGTATCCTTAGTGACAAGTTGTTATGACATAGTAAATGTCTTTCTGTGGTTGTGTAAAAGATGATGAATATGCTTGACACAAGTTTCTTGATAATCAGATGGCAAAAACTCAGTGGTAAACTCTATTTTTGAAGCTATACAGCCTTTTTTTCCGAAGAGTCCACCAAAAATGCATACAGGACATATGGTGAAGAGAAATTTTTCTTCATAATCTGTCCCAGACGTGGGTTTTCTTTTCTATTAAGTATATGAGTCAATTACTACTATCATAAGCCTCATGGATAATGTGAAGATGACCATTTCAAAAAAACAGTACTGGCACATAATAAGTGGTTTGGAAAGTTAAATGACAGTAAAGCTGGACCTAATTCTTTTTCATGATGCTGTTTGAATTTTTTCCCTCTCTCTCTTACGTTCTTTTCATTGTTCTGTTCCTTCCTTCCACCAAAGGACATGCACGTTTTCCACTGTCTTTATAAATGAGTTGATTTTCTGATGAGCCCTTGCAATGCAAAGAGTGAAATTTGCTGAAAGCCTGTTTCCTGAGCATAGTTCTTCCTCTTACTGTTCAGAACCTTCTCACCTGCAGTACTTCTTTTTCTGTGCCAGCGTTTTCTCTTGAGATTTTTTATACTTTGCTTGCTTACTCAGTTTCAGCATTTGAAATATGGACTCTGGTGAAAAATTCACAACATTATTATTTCCGGGTAGCAAATCATTCAACTATTGCTTTTAAAATAATCTTCATATTTCCATATGATTTAGAAAAAGTCAGTGGAAGGTTCCAATTTGCTGGCAAAAGATAATGAAAAAGAGCATTTTTGTCAAATTGATTTATAAATAAGCCTGCTTCCGTAATTAAGCAGTAGTTGGAGTGTATCTGTAATCCTACTGTTCCTGTATTGGTCTACTAGGAAAAAAGAAATACCATAATTGTTCTGGTTATTTTTCCCCTCATAGCAGCTGCTCCTAAACGCAGCAAGGAGCTAAAGTTGGACTTTTCCTTGAATTATTTTTTTTTCTTAAAGATCTCTCACAGATTTGAACACTGACCTTCGTATAATCAGGGAAAGTGTTTTAAATTTTAGTAGAGGAATTGGAAATGGTAGAACGGGCTTTAAGGGGGAATATTTTGTGTGTAGGCTGTACATGGCTTTTTGGGGAGGGGAAATATTTGTGGTGATAGGTGTACATCCACAGAAGGGTGTATTTATTTCACCCAGTTGTACTACCTTGAAAGAACCGTGGTCGCATTGATGAGGATTCATGAATGGGTTAGGGTATCTGTTCACTTAGGTGAAACAGTGACTATATGGAGAATCTGAATATTGAAAGAATTTGCTTTAAAGGTCTAAGAAGCCCTTAACTAGAGAAACAAATGAAAATTAAAAGTTTTTCTATGAAAAAAGTGTTTGGTATTTATCTGTCATAAGCCTTGCATGGCCATTTCATTATTGTAGATTTGATTTAAATTCTAACATACGTCAAGACAAATGTGCAACAAGAATTTTATAACTTCTGTGTATTTGTATCTGCACTGACAAGGAAATGTAGAAATAAAATTAAATGGATCTTCTTGATGCTGGAGGAAAATTACAGAATGCGCTATATGGCCTATTGGGATTTTGATTTTGCCCAAACTGTCTAAATCTTAGACAGGCCTTAGTTTTTACTTTGCATTTTGAAAGACCTATTAAAACAAGGATTACCCGCTGCTGTGTTGTAAATATAAAATATTTTTCTATGTCCTCAAAACACAGAAGCAGCTTGGGCTGTTAGATGTTGGTTGATGAAGCATTTCTATTTTGTGTTTGTTCAACATATTACAGTAAAATAACATATACAGGTGATTAAGTCACTTGAAAATGCTTGTGCACACTTTACTCATTGTCTAAATGAGGAAAAATGGGGGGAAAAAAAGGGAAATAATTTAAAAAAAAAAAAAGTCATCAAACAATATAAAACACCAGAGCCAGGGAAGTTTTCAGCACTACTGTTACCACTGCAGTAATTACCATTAGCAATAAAAAAGCAGAAAAACAGTCCCTTTTTATTTGCGTGGCACTATTGAATCCAGTTCTGCTGATGGGTATATTTTTCCGTATCTCACCAGGGGTATTCTGTATGTATATTTTGAAGCTAATTTGTAAAAAAAACAAAAACAAAAAAAACCAAACCAAAACCAAAGACACCTTTAAACACTTGGCAGTATCAGAGTAGGTCTATAAGTCAGTATGCCCAAATGAAGCATATCAGGTGAAAAACTTCAAACATTCCAAAGCCATGGAAAAACTTGACTCTTGCGAGGCAGAATACTGCTCTTGTAGCCCTGTCCGATACCTAACCAGCAACTAACAATAACTGAGCCATCTGTTTGATATGCATGGAGTGTTAGTTACTGCTGTTTCATAGTATCTGTAAATATCTGCATATGAATTTTCATTGTAAGGGGTATTTTATTTTTTAGTAGTTTGAGAGGGAATTTGACGTAGTTCCCTCATCAGAGAAGCAGTTTTTCTTGATTAAAAAAAATAATTTAAGCTTTTCATAAGAGTTTTCCCACTTGTTGCCCAATAAATAGTGACCTCATGTGAAGATCAAAAAGCCTGTAATTTGTTGTCTTGTAGCAAGAACACGGAATGAAAAAAAAAATTACCAGAATTTATTATACTGGGCTAATAGAAACTGAAGTATAGCTGGTAATTTTAAATACTAATCTGAGTATGTCTTGTTGCTCAAATTTAAAATTGAGATGCTGAATAATAAATGTGTGCTTTTTTTTTTCTTTCTAATGAAATTTTGGAGATGTAATTTTATGACTAGAAAGGCCTCTGAAATGAAAACAAGAATTTACTTACCACTAAGTTTACAAAATAAGAGAACCTAACTTGAGACTGTCATTGTTGGAGTCAAGCCTTTCAGAAACTTAGCATGTACTACGGTATTAAACACAACTCAGAATTCTGCTTACATGGCTTGAATTAAACACAGTTTTGGATAGTATAAAGTGTTTAATGTCTTTCTACACTAAGAAGTTTTGTCAACATACACCATTGCAGTTGGACTAGAGATCATTGTAGGTCCCTTCCAACTGGAACTATTCTATTTCTTTGGCCTGCGTGCTGCCCTGTTGTTTGATAAAGCATTATTATTTACAACTGACAGATCATTTGAACTGAGTTGTGATTCCCCATAAACAATATTCCATTCTTCCAAAACCATTACTGAAAGCACATCTGCTTCGCTTTCTTCTTTGGTTGCAATTGCATTGCTTTTGTACAGCTGTATCTTGGACCTAAAGTAGCTCTCTAATGTGTTCTGCATCTTGAAAAAGCAGCCTTCAGTTCAGTTGGGCATCATTATGTCCCATCATATGGAGCATGCTTCCTAAACCTGTAGGTGCTTCAAAGAAGCAAAATGCATCCGATTCCTGTGTTTTCGACTTTTGCCAGTATCCGTGTAGTATAACTGGCTTTCTCCCAAGTCACTCGTTGCCATCTGAGCCATGGTACTGCCAATATGCAGAGCAGTGTGTTCAAAATAATGACTAGCAGGAGTGCAGCCATCAGCAGTTTTCCCTCCTAGCTGCTAGACTGCAGCTTGAAATGGTGTTCCAAAAAGCAGATGGATGACAAGAGAGCCATAGGAATCTGTTAGTTTGACCCCAGATCTGACAACTCTAGCTTATTTTTCTGGCTTACAGTGTGCCCTTACAAAAGAAAACAAAACAATCAATCCTGAAATAGGTGGAGACTTTCACTGCACCAAGGGATATTTGACCAAAATTCTTTATGGTTATTTTCTAAAAACTTCAGAGGTATGCAGAAACAAGGATTTGCAAGGGAAGTACCTTAAAGCCAGAAGAAACAAAACGATCAGAATATATTTGTTTAGGACACATACCTCTACGGTTGGAGAAGAAAAGTGTATTGGGGGGAAAAAAAAAAAGGGCGACAGACAAATCTGTGTATGAGAGAGTACTTAAACTAAAATTCAGCTTTTCCCAATAAAACTGTTGCTGATGCAAGCCTTATTGAGGTTGCAGGCCAGTACCTGCTCAGTTGTACTGCCCAGGAGTTGCAATTCCTGCATGACTTAGCCGTGCCGGAAAGAGCCCTTTTTTGTAGATGCTGTCATGCAGACAGTTCTGGGCTCTTTTTGGTACAGCTTGTTTTACCTGCTACTTTCTCTAAAGAGTATCCACTAGCCCAGAAGCATCAGCAAAAACAGTTTTGCCAGTATAGATTGCAGCTACTCTAAATGCAGTTGAGTGATATATTGTCAGAGTGTGTCAAGTGAAGTGTCCTGAGCCAACAGTAATTATGCATTTCTCACAGTAATGTCATATTATGGAAATAGTCTGCTCTTTTGAGGTAGTAAGGCAGCACCGGTTTAACAAACGTGTCCGGTATGCCCCCAAATCATCAGACTTCCTACAAATGTGCAATAGATCCATTTATTAGGCAGGGGAGGGTATACTGCATATGTCCCTCAACTATCCTAGTTGCAAAGTTTTGGCGTAGCTAATCTGATCCTTTTTAATGTCAGCAATTATGTTACTTCCTCCCCCAGCTACTGTTGTGTAGGATAGTGTTACCCTGAGACAGGGAAGGCAGGAACGTTTTAATCAAAGCATCAGTGAAAAATTGTGAAGACTGTCCGTTGCTTGGGTGGATTTCATTTAATGTGATCCTTCATTTCTCTCAGTTCTTCAGTGGTACTTGTTGCAGGTAGTTCCATATGCGTGGGGTTTTTTCAGAGGTTTCTTTTTATGCTGGTGCCATGCATTATGTGGCTTCCATTGTTTTCCAGTGGGGATTACTTACCCTATAAATGTACTTAAGGTGAATTTTGTTTGTATTATTTCAGTTTCATATTCATTTAACAACTTTTTTTTTTACTAGCATATGCAGGCTTGGGTCAGCCTTGTGGTACAAGTGCAGGTGGGAGTACAATTTGGCAGAAGACTTTCAGCACAGTTTATTTAACTGAAAGAGAGCTCCACTGAGAAAGACCAACAAAAATCTAATTTGGAAAACTTGGGAGAGTTGACATCATGGAATACTTCATGGATACTCCCTGTATTTGGAACAAGGCGATTGACATTTTCACTATTTGAAGTATATGTCAATTTATGCTTCAGTAAGGAAGCTCTACTTTTCTTACATATTTGAGGATGCTACTGAAAAAAATACAGAAAGATAGCATAAAATTTTCATGCATGACAGAATGGTTCTATGCAGATGAATGGCTGTTTTCTTCTAGATGGTTGGTATAGTAGCCATTTCTGCAAAAACAAAGATAGATGCCAAACAAAAGCCTATGTATTTCACTAACACAACTTAGTAAGCATAGAAGGAGTAGGTAGGAAAAAGGGAAACTGAAGGAGAATTTGACTCTGCACTTCAGGTATGGAAAAGAGCCAGGCTTTGTTAGGAATTTACCTTGCAAACTCCATGACTGGTCATTACTATCAACTTTAATCTAGTTTTTATGCGAGGAGTTAATTTAATTGTAAGTTTGGGTGGATTGGTGTAGATTGAAATATCTGATCACAGTTGGCTGCAAGCATAGTCAGGGTTTGAAAATTTTCATTTTTCTAATATGTTGAATTAAAGAATAAAACTGTTCTTTTTTTCAGTCTTGGAATACTTGTAAGCAGTTACGTTGGCCAACAGGAACCTTCTTTGATGTGTGTCTCTTGACAAGTGCCTCTGCAACTTTCATCTTTGTTAGGTTACAATAGGAAATATTTTTGCTTTTTTATGGAAGTCCTGAGACTACATCTCAGCTTTGGAAAGCTGTTTTAAGTAGTAAGTGTTTTCTGGATAGATTATATTTTTTCTTTTGTTGTTTTGTTTAAATGTACCAAGCTAAAGTACATTGGAGCATAATTTTTGTCTATTTTATGTACAGCAGTGGCTATTTAATAAAGGTCTGACTAGAAGGTGAAGAGTTTTTGTTTTTAAATAAATGGTTATTAAGTTGGTTTCAGGTAAGCCTACCTTTCTGATCAGGCCGTTGTTAAGTTGGTGCTGGTATCACACTGTGTCCTATATACAAAGCAAATGTAAGAAAGAGAAGTAAGCTCTAGAATCTCTTTAAGGGATATTCATGCTGTGCTGAGTTCAAGAATACTTTCTGAACTCAAAGAATTTTAGACAGGAAAATCTTTAATAATATAGGCAGCAGGAAATTAGTAGGGAATATAAAATTCATTATTACGATGAATGTTTCTGAAAGTATTTGATACTACAGTTGGCTTTAATTCTGTATCATACTGTTCCAAATCCATTGTGATTTTTGAGTTCTGTTCTCTTATGCTGTTGCTTTTGTTTTTCTTGCTCAAAAATTTTCATACTTACAGAGAAGAAGAATTCTGTAAAGCCTATGGTTTTATCTGCATCCTGTTCAGAGACACTTATTTTATAATTTGTCATCCTAAGTGGGTATGTGCAGCTCCTGTGCTGAGTTGAACAATCCACGCTAAAGTCCAAACTGAAGCATTTTTGTAGTTTACTGATGCCTAAATGTGCCTGTATGTGTTCCAGTCACCTCCAGTAGACACGTTATGTGCCTTGGAGATCTGTCAAAAGTAGAAAGTTCCATGTGTTAATCATGGTGCAGAATGTGCAGGAGTAAATAGCTATTCTGTATCTTTCTCATAAAGAGCAATGGAAAAAATGTTTAATAAAGTAGAGATGACTAATAAAATATGGTAAGGAACTGGAAAATTTTAATTTGGTGAGTTGCTTTCTTATATTGATAAACTAGTACTAATAGTTTTCCTAAGGCATGAACTGCTGAATACTCAGAAGAGATTCAGATATAGAAAATTATAGTGAAATTCAAATCTGTATTTTCATCAGATTTCCCATTATTTTTTTCATGGTATTTAAATCTGAGCACCTGTGCAACTGCGGCCTTATTGTCAAGACTGCTCAAATACTTCTATTTATTGTCTGCTTTTCATCTGCATTGTTTTGCATTATCTTCCATTTCCCTGTCTGCAGTTTACTATAGACAGTGTCTTTAAACATTTTCATTGTTTTAGTCCTGCGTGAGGAAAGCTGAACTGTTATGTGGTTAATCTTCTCAAACAGATGCATTAGTTTCCTTGAACTTCCCAGTGTTGTAGTTTGAAATAATCAAGGTTATCTTTACTTGCATTGGTATGTTCTACCTAGCTTATTTAGCAGATAAGTTCATCTTTCTTCTGTTTGCAGGAAATGAATGGAGTTCTAAAGAACATGCTTTCAGAGTGGTTCTCGACAGGATTCCTAAACTTGGAACGGGTCACTTGGCAATCACCTTGTGAAGTACTCCAGAAAATTAGTGAGTAAGTGCTAAAAGTTGCTAATGCTCGTTGATGAAAAGGTGATGAAATGGTTGTGACTGCACAGATCAACTATTTTCAAAATACTGCTTTTCAGTACTGAACCACAGGCAAAGTATAATTAAGGAATAGTTGCATTTAACACACTAAAGAGCACACTTTAAATACTGAATTAAGTAAATGCTGAAGGGGATCATTTGTCCCATAATTTGATCCTTTAGCTCACATACCGCACTTTTAGACTGCTGTCTTTTCTCCCAACCTTCTCAGTTACTCCTCCCATGTTCCCAGAGGTGCTGCTGTTACTTTTCCTGCAAACCTAGATTCTTGCAGCACTGCCTTCTCGCACTCCCTTTCCCCCCACAGGTCCTGCTGCCTCTGCTACCTCCATCACCACTGCCACCTTCTTCTCCCCTCAGTCTACACCAGCAGTGTTGGTAGAGAATTAATATTTAAGTCTGATGCAGCATGGGATGCCCAACACTCAAGAGCACGTTTTACTTCTAATGTAGTGAGGCTCCCCTTCCTGGCTGGAACTGCTGAGGTGCACAGAATTACTTGTGAACTATACGTGAAGAGAGCACCTTGTTTTTTATGAATGTTCCTTAAAATCTACAACATTTATTTCTGAATTTCTGTCAAATACTGAAAGTCATAGTGATGAAGTTGAAGATGGCTGAATCAAAGTTATGTTGTGTGGCATTTTATCATATAAAAAGCTTGAAGAAAAATGAATCTCTAGAGAGTTCTGAAAGTACATGACTTAAATGTGGATGAGGCCAAGGAAAGAGATCTTATACAAGGTAAATTTTCAAAATAAAAATAATGAGTGATATTTTACCTCAGGGTATTTTGGCAAACGCTCTAGACTTCCAATATGTAATAGAGAAAAGAATGCTTTGAATGATTGGTTGAAGACATGGCTGTGGGAGTGCTAACAGACTACTTTCGCTTAGGAGAACTAATTCCTTAGAAGTGTGTTCAGACTCATTCAGTAATTTCATCATCTCAGTCAGATATCCTATACTGAACAGAAAGTGCAAGTGAAATCTCAGATATGTAATAAGCATATCCCAAAGAAAGCTAGAGAGAGTGGATATGCAATATGGCTTTACAGTCTACTTTGTCACAGTTTGCTGATGAATTTTACTTTTTTCCACTTACAGCCTGATTCTCCTTTTTTGATCGGAGAGTTTTGTCACTGACATCAAAGGGGAAAGTACTGAGCTTGTAGGGTTGGCAGCTGACCTCTGTTTTTAAATGAAAAAAAATATATATAATTTTACTTCTTTTTATTTTCTTATTGAGTTCTGAAGCTGTGCATCCTGTTAGAAACTGGGTTGATATGAAGCGTCGAGTTGGGTCGTATAGAAGATGCTACTTTTTTTCTCACTGTGCAATCCCAGGAGAACCATTGATAGTCTTGCATGTTGCACTAACCAGTGATATCTCCAGCAGCATCCAGGTACAGTCACTGAGGCATTTAGTACACAGCAAAGTACTCAAATTGCAATGTACTTCTTTTAAAAAGCTGTAGTTCTTTATAATTTGGGGATATTTGGTTTTGTTTCTTTTTTTTTAAGTGATGAGAGAATTGGCACTTAAAAATTACAGGGATATTCTGTATATCTCCTGTATTATGTAAGTTGAAATTTTGGGGTTTTGCTCAAGTGCAAGAAGAATAAGAAAAGATAAGAAATGTATAAGAAAACATAGCAAAGGAGATTAAAACTTCAAAGCGGTTATGATTACCTCTGAAAATTTTAAACCACATTACAATTACTTCCTGCACTTGCTAATGAATAAGCAGCTCTTCTTTCTACTCTTTGATTAGATTTTTGTTGTTTCTTACAGAGGATAATGAATAAAACAGTGGGGAAAAGTGTTAACACATTTGAAAGTTAAAAAGAAAGGCCCCCTCCCCCATAATGATGATGATAACTACTACTAACTTTTTTTTATTTTATAATTATTTTCCCAGGCCATAGTGAAAGAAGTGCCACCTTTAGAAACAGAAGATACAGACAAAATTACAACAGCAATTTTCTACTCAATCAGTTTGACTCAACAGGGGCTGCAAGGTGTGGAACTTGGGACTTACCTCATCAAACGGGTTGTAAAAGAGCTGCAGGTAGGTGTGGCAGGGTGTACTTAAGATGCTGTTTGGCCGGTGTGCTCCCCTTGCATTGCTGTTTTAGTTTCCATGTTGTGTCATTGCTCAAGGCAAGGAGCTGCTAGGTCTTCCTCTACGCTTGCAGCTTCTTACCAGATCAACCTTTAAAGATGTGTAAAGAGTTGGAAGAACATTTCCTGCTGTTGGTTAAGGTCTGCCAGATGTAGATACGGTTACGTAGTTGACAGGTACTGCATGAATTACTTGTGTTTGCCTAATCATGTGCATAGCTCGCTTAAAAGTCAAATTAGTACATTTTTATTGAAGGTAGCTTCAATATTCATTGATTTATATACAGAGTGGTGTGAAAGAGACAGCCACATTTCTGTGTTGAGTACATTATTTTATTTAATAGTCTTTACTGCTTAAATTATTAACAAAGCTACCACTTAAAAGTAATGATCACTACTTGTGTTTATATTCATCGTTCCAATATCGCTGTTCCTCTTTCAAAATCTTACGCCTGTTCCAGTAACAAAAATACTTCTTGTACATTAATTAATTCGTTTGCTTGTTTGTTATGTTGAATTGCCACTGGTTATGTGTGCAGTTTGCATGCTTGCCTTGAATACGTCTATTAAAAAAAAAGCCGAACCAAAAACTTTGCCCAGGCATTTCTTGCAATATAGTAAAGAAGATGTCTTTAACATTTGAAAGTCACAGGAATCAGTTACTTTATGCAAGTCAGTTCTATGAATTTATATAGTATTATTGCATACTATGGGATTATTGTTAGTAGTTTTAGGACTTACTGCAGAACCTTCTTCCAAGCAACTGGAAAAAGGAATGAAAATTCATTGATTTATATACAGAGTGGTGTGAAAGAGACAGCCACATTTCTGTGTTGAGTACATTATTTTATTTAATAGTCTTTACTGCTTAAATTATTAACAAAGCTACCACTTAAAAGTAATGATCACTACTTGTGTTTATATTCATCGTTCCAATATCTGGATTAGTAATGATGTCTGGAAAATTGTCTGTGATTTAGACCTTCAGTTCTACTTAGAAAAATAACTTAAAATTGGATGCACCAAATCTCTACTACTAAAAAATGATTGATTAGTCAACCACTGAATCATAGCTGGCTGCCCTGAAGAAGTTTTTTATTTTATTTTTAATGGATATTTTGGCTGAATTTTGTTGCTTCTTGCTTTCGGAATGGCTTTTAGATTAATTGTCTAAAGTGCAGTAGTCCAGGTATAATTAGGTTGTGCCATCTGTCTGATCTTGACTGAGGGGAAATTGGAATAAATTCATGCAGTTATCTGCTTTCACATCTGAAAAATAATTTCTGGATAATTGAGTTCCTCTCATAAAATAACCCTGTTGACAACGTATTTGTCCATCACTAAATTGCTTACAACACTAGAAAAGTTATGAGCGAGTTATAAAGGAAAATAGACATACCATATTTAGATGACTTACGTGCAAGTTCTAAAATTTGATGTGTCCAACAGAAGAATGTTTCTTATTTATACTTAGGACAAAGTTTCTACATTTCAATGTTGTAAAATCCAGCCCTTCTTCAGTGTTCATGAAATACATGATAAATAGGAAACACTTTGGCTGAGATGCCTTTAAATGCATTCTAATCGTAAAATTATTGCCTCAAGCTTAAATAACTTATTGAAAGCTAGGTGCTTTCCATACAATGCCAAAGATGGAGGTCTTCCTCCCTACTTAAATTTCATCCATGGCTTTAAGATGTTACGAAAAACGTGCTGTTATTAGTAAGGTTTTATATGCCAAATTGGACATGTACTCAGTTGACTATGAAGTTGTAGCAAAACTTGAACTGCTTATTTATATTTATTCTATATCTATATATTAAAGGTACAACCACCTTCATGTATTGTCTTTACACCATTGCTTTTCTTGCTGATAAACCTTGCTGGGGTACCACTGTAGGGCTAAAGAAGGTAGGAGGGATAATCCAGGAGTGTTTATCAACGATGGATGTGGTTCTCTTAATAGTTTTTCTTCCATGTTAATATTTTTTTAATATTTTTTTTCCTTTCTTCCCACTCCTTCATGCTTTCTTCCTCTTCATTCCAAAGTATTGTTCTTGAATTTGTTGTCTTGAATTCTGCAAGAACCATCTCCCATTACATATTTTACATCTGTGAAGTGACCCTAAATCATCATACTGTTGTTATCAGAACTATTTGATGCACTTCTGTAATTCCTAGTCATTCTGCTTTTGTCCAACCTTAATGATTCTATGATTCTATGTCGTCAATGTTGTGACTCCCATCTCAGTGGACTTCACCTTTCAGTGGAGAGAAGCCCTGTGTATTTCAGCTTCAAAATACTTACACTCTGAAATTTCTACAAAGTTAGATTGTTCAGGGCAAAGGCAGGGCATACGATGAGTAATACTCTTGGCAGCCTGTTTTACCTGTTTCCCAAAATTCTGGAAATCCTACTTCAGTGCATTAATTGCACACATATGCTCTTTTTCTCTCTGGTCAGGTGTAAGCAAAGGACTTTCCAAGGTTGTCTGTGTTCAGGCTGGACATAATTCTCTGGAGCAGCATTATAGTCACTTACTTTAAAAGGGACAAATGGTATAGTGGTAGTGCTGAGTTGACTTGGGTGACAGCAGCTGAAACAATATAGCCTCAGCAAAAAAAATCTTGGGTCAAAAATTACATCTCATTAAGCAAGCTTCCAGCAGCCTTTGTAAAAATAGATAGTTGAGGTCTCTGATAGGAAGATTTTTTTATGTAACCTTTGCACGGCTTTGCAATAAACAAATCTTTATTTAAAGTGCTGCTAAATGGCCAAGTGTTCCGGGTTACATAAATTGAGACTCTCTCTAATTTAACTGATAATAAAATGCTTCAAGAAGAGGAGACCATTTGAAGAGGTTGAGGATTTTGGTTTTCATTATATTTGAATCATTGATAATTAATACACTTTTATAACTTGCCATTTGTTGGAGTTAACTTTTGTGGACATCTCTTTGAACTGCAGAATGTTACTTGATTCATATTTTCCCAAGGCACTGCAAACTCTTAAAACTTTTTTTATCCTCCAGTAAAAATCCTTTATCTGACTTTGCCTTAACCTGCTCTGACACTTCTACTTGTAAGTGCCATTCTAACCTCAAAACTGAATTCTCAGCTGTCATTCTTCATAAGGAAAACTCCAAATTGGACCTGTCATGAATGTATATCATTAAATCAGAAAAAGACATGCACTAAGTTAGAAATATGCTAATAGCCACTCTCTTTTTCCACCATTGAAGCCTTTATTTGGCAATATTTTTAAAAACGGTACTGAAACATTGGTCTAGCAGGTATCTACACTATAAAGTTTTGTCTGTGAATTCAGTTGGTACCAGATTCCTTAAAAGAAAATCTCATTAATGGACAATTAAGATAGAGCTTAATTTTTTAGAAATCTTCTTGCTAATTCACCTGAACTGGTCACATACACTGCTAAGCATGAACATGGGTAGGGTAGCACTTCTCACCTTCAAAGAATGTCAAGTACAGATTCCCTCATGAAAGTATTTCTTGCAAATGGGGTTTTATTAGGACCGTAAGGAAAACTGCAGCATTAGAGGCTCTGGCGAAGATTACAACCCGCAGGGTTAAGCACTGTTAGTTTGAGGCGCTGCATAGAAGTTAATGGCCCCTGCTTTTGAGTCTTCCGCTAATTTAAGCAGATGGAGGACGTATGAAGTTGAGTTACAGAAATGGGTCCTCAGTTTCATCTCTTTATATGTGCACAGTTAGCAGTTTGAATCCTTAATATCTACCTAGACATTATGATTTGGCATTTGCCACAGGTATTGTAATATAATTGGGTAAAGGGGAGGGATATAACGGAGATCAGAATAGCACTTCAGGGACGTAGCTTGTGTCGCATACAGAGCGCATCCTGGGAGAAAGTATGCTGCTCTAAATAGGAGATTTTTCTTTTTTTGGTAGTTGCTTGACAAAAGTTTGCTACACAAATAGTTTAGAAGGTTTTTATAAACAGGCTTCTATTGTTATCTGGGCATCTCCTGTTTGGATTATTTTTGGGCAAGCAGTGGGATGAATTCATTATTCCACTGATACCACTTTGGTCTCAGTTCTCCCTGTACAAATCTGAGAATAGGCTACCTATGCATTCTGTGTAGTCTCTTGGTTATATTAATGTGTATAAAGCAGGGAGCAGACAACAGAAATAATGTCCTGTATTTCTTAAATTTGGGCTTGTATTGTTCCCAGAAACGAATTGGATTTTGAAACAATTTCAGACAACTAGTAAGAAAACAAACAAACCCCAGATTGGGTGCTGGAAAACAAGCAGGCAAATGCATTTCTAGCATTTGAATGCGTGCTGGTGAACGTGTAGACAGATAGATTTCTCATTAGACAGACATTTAATTCAGAATGTGTTTATAGCCACTCTAAATGGTGTGTAGCTCCACAGAAGGTACATCATAGCAATTCAGTCTGCAGATGACAGACAGAGATAACTGTGGTGAAGCCTTTGAGAAAACTGCTTAGAATTTTATAGCCTGTGGCATTTGGGGGAGAAAACTGATAGCTACTATGTGACTCAATAGAATGCTTAACAATTGGTGGCAGATTTTTGCTTTCTGGTTGGGCTGTTGATAATTGCTACCTTAATTCGATCTAGGTGACCTGGGGAGATCATAATTTCCAAAACAGGCTTTGCTTTCATTGATGAAAAATGTGACCTTGGACTACAGCTTTCAGAGTGCAAGACAGTTTCAGATGAGATATTGATAATAGGAGAAATCTGTGCTCTTCCGCAATGAAAAAAAACCAAACTAAAAGACGACCAAAACCAGAAATCTACCCCAAAACAAAATGAGCAGCTGTTTCTTAATGGTGTGTGGGTTTCTGACAAGAAAATAAACATTAATGGATCTCCACCAATAGCCTTAGAAACTAGCACATCAATTTAGCAACAACATAAATGTACACACTTCGCTGCATCTATTTATTTTTCTGCAAGAAATGGCCGCCTCAGATAAGCTCCTAAACTCAAGCATTTATCAGATATGTAGTAGTCTGTACTGTAGCTTGAAAATGGGGTCACTTTCCCATGTCTTATCTGTCTTAAGAAGTAAAAAATAGGCACAATTTCCGATTTTGTATTTATTAATAGAGTAGGAGCTACTAACTTCCTGATAAATATTTTGGGTTGCGCTTGGTGAACAGGTCACTCCTGAAAGTGAATGATAAACAAAGAGCAGTCAACATCACAAGGAAGCAAAATGTCAGATACTTAATTAGGAACTTTGCAGTGGTTATTATTAACACACAAATATGGGAAGAAATCATTCATTCTCACTTTCGTTATTGTGGATGGTGCATAGGTACCCTCTCGGCTTTGCAAGCTGGGAGATGGGATTGGAGCTGTTACCCTATGGAAGCAGTGGGCATGGCTCAGCTCCTGTGTGAAAAGCCCTGTTTGTTAGCTCTGTTCAGTAGCAAGGTAGTATTTTCAAACACTGTGCTTTCTTAGCAGAGATGGTGCAGAAGACTTCCAGACTTGACTTCGGTAAGCAGCCTTTTCTCTTGGTCCAATCAGTTTTTCCTTTTACCTGAAAGAAGAGTTTCTGCTTCTCAAATTTCAACATTACCTTCCTTCTTCCCCTCTCAGGTTTTAAGCCCAAACATAGAATCATAGAATAGTTTGGGTTGGAAGGGACCTTTAAAGGTCATCTAGTCCAACCCCCTAAGGGATACATTCTCAAAGGCTCTGTCTTTTATAGGATGAGTAATATAGTTAGAAAAAAAGGAAAACCTTTAAGAAATGCAATCCCATCTTCAGGTCAAAAAGAAACACATCTGGTATTCCTTGAATCCCTACCTAGAGGAAAGTAACCTCTAGCAACCTTTTTCTCTTTTTTTTTTTCCCCCTTTTTTTTCACCCTGCTGCACAATAGTAACATCTGTACTCCCTCTAGCAGCACATCTAGGATTTCTCATTGATAGGTGATTAATTTGAATACTTTTACTGATTTATCCCTGTCTCTCGTGTTCTCTGCGTTATGGACTAAAGATGAACATTAAAGCACAACAGGGAAGGAAGACACAGAAGAATGAAACCCCATTCTGAAATCCAGTGTCTTTGGGGGGAGCTTGCTGCTGCTTAAGGATGCTGACATGAAAAGGGTACTTCTCATTACAGATTACAGGTTTGTGTTTCTGTACCTTAAGGTTCATTTGCAGGTCTATCACATCGTAGACCGTTGCTGAGTTGTCATCCATCATTATTGTGTGGACAGGCAGAAGGGTACTGGGTCACTGAATCTTCAGAAGGGAGTTGTGGCCCTCCCTTCTGGGCAGAAATTCATCTAGCCACAGTAAGAGCTGACATGCAAAAGGTCAAATTGCTTGACAGCAGACTGTCTCAGCAGCTCAGCTACGGCCGGTCGCAGTGGAGTTACCACTGGTCAGCTTTCAGTGCGCTGATGGAGAAACGAAGGTAGTAAGTGATACTGCTCATTACCATCTTACAGAACTGAAAGCTATCAGCTTTTTCTCCAGGAACAAATACCTTGAAGTTATTTTTCCAGCAGCCTTTAAAAATTCACTTCTGTGCCATCTTTCTCCCTCCTCCTCTTCCAGGAGATCTGTGGTTTTGTGCTAGTAGTGTTGTCTTTGGTGGGAGCTAATGTTCAATCAAGGAAAGTGTAGCTGACAAGGGGGCTTCTGAGCATAGCTCTCCTCTACCATACTAATTAAGATCCTGCTGCTTTAAAGAAAAGTGGATTCCAAATGTGATGATTAGGTATACTCCTTGATTCAGAAACCCGACAAGGAGGTGGATGAAAAGTGATCAAAGGAAGATTTAGTAAGTGCATTTGATTCTGTGTTCAAATTTCATAAAGTTATTTTGAATTGATTTGTGGATAAATAGTCTTTATATCCATGGGGAAGTATTTAGTGTGGGCTTGGGGGGGGAAGGATTTTTGAAGTGTATGGAGTTGCTTTGTTCTGTTCTCATTTTTGCCCTTTTTCTGCTCCTAAATGTATTTTTTTAATTTACTGTGGTTCTTGCTCTCTTTTTCAAAAGCAGAGGGGAAACTTTTTTAAAAAGGCTGGACTGTCTAGTCCAAGAAACATTCTTTTAATTAAAATGTATTTTCTATATCCATGCCTCTTGTAGCCATGGTCCGCAGTAAGAGCACAACCCTAATAGACTATTTTGTTTTATAAATCCTGTATTCTCTAAAATTGTACAAAGAGGTGCTAAGATACCAGCAGAAATTGCCTTCCACAGACATCTCTCTACGTCAATGTCCATATAATATTTTTTCTTTTATGAAATGCATATGTGATGAAACCTGGTAGTTGTATTTCACAGATCTTGTTACAGACTTACGCTTCAGAATTACTCTTAAAAATAAAATATCATCATGTCCTTTAGTGGAGACTTGAAAAAGTCACAGGAGATCAACGCTGTACTAGTATTGCATTATCTGACCATGGTAGCTATAGCAGTTGAGAATATGACACAGTCAGGATCTCCCGGTCTCTCTGATTACAGAAATGATTGTTTTGTTCAGTAAGATATAGAAATGAGTGTTTTTATGAAATAATTTGCTTTTTGCTTTATCCAGTTTTCTAAGGAGATAGAATAGGGTGTTTCTTTGTAACTTGGTCTGCCTTTCTTGTTCCTGTCTGGTCCCAAAAGAAGAATTCTTTGACTTACCTATCTGTGTAATAGTCAAAGAACTTCAGATAAGGGGAGCGAGTGAGGTTATTCAGTTTATGCAACTGTAAGTCACAAAACTGAAGAGGTGGTAGATCTGAGCTGGCTGGTGTATCGTAGTGCCGGAAGCCAGCAGAACAGCAGTAAGCTATTTAGGAAGCTCTGGGTGGGAAGGAAAAAGATGTTGTAAATAACCAGCTGAATATTATTCAGTTATCGAAGTTACTAGAAATGGTGCTCGGCGCCAACCTGTAACGGAGGTATGCCGGGCCTGCGTTCCCTGGCTTCTGCATCCTCATGAAACGGAATGCAGGTGGCAGCGTTGTGTGGAGCACAGCGGTACCTGAGGATGCAACAGCGCAGGTGCAATATAAACAACTGAGCAGCAGGCATTCCATTAACGTTTGCTGGTGTAAGGTAGCATCTGAGCAATGATGACTTTTTAATGGTTATCTGGGTAATACTCAAAGTAGAAAAAAATGCATTTTGTAGTCATTTAAAGACAATTTTCTGTTGACATTAAGATGCTTCTGTAATGTTGATAAATGTCTCCGTTCTTACCACTGCTTCCTATATGAACAGTAATTAAAACAACACTGCGGTTGTTTCAGTTCAGCTCCGTCTTCCCTCTGTTCCTTGCCCCCCCTACTCCTTCGGTAGGGTTGATTTTTATGTCGTTTTTGTTAATTCCAAGTGACAGCGAGTTTAACAACCTTCTCTATTCTTCACATTGGTGTGCCCCAAAACTAACACACAGTTTTCCTTACGTATGTTTTGCTTTACATGATTATGTAGTTAACAGCTTTTACTCATAAATTAGTAGGAGTAGAGGAGAAGCTTTATTATGTTAAAACAATTATTAAACTGTGATTAATTTTTTTACTGTAAGTATGTATTTCTTATCTTGCTATTTTGTCAGTGTAGTTTATAGTTTGGGAATGGCATGAAAAGTAGCTGACCTGTATAAAGAATCTTTTTCAAAACTTCAGGAAATACTTCTTTCCATAAAAATGTAGAAGTTGTACCTCTCCTGGTTTTTACAATAGACTGAAATAATAAACTGCACTTCATTCAAAAAAAGATAGTTACATATGAAAAATAAATGGTACTTAAAAGGTTTTAGAAACTTACATGTTTAAATTTTTTTTTAAATCTTATTCTTCTGAACAACTTCTTTATGGCATGTGATTGTATTTGTTTATTTCTGCCTATAAAATGGTATACCAGAATGTAGTGTCGGTAAGTACTGTATAAGTACTTTTCAATAGCTTATGTGTGTGGACTGTAATTCAGGCAGTGTGAAAATTTTCTGTGTTCCCCAAGTGCTTTCTGGTCACTAAAACCTGCTACTGGCAGGGGGGTTTTTTTTTTTTTTTTTTTGGTGTGTGCCTATGTGTATCAGTTAATTCTCAGCATCCCTAGTCTTCACTTGACATCAAGTAAAGAGTATGAGCTGTTCTTTCAAACTTCTCATTGTCAATCATGACAAAACTCATGAATTTTTTTTCCTCTCCTTTTGTCTGCAGAAAGAACTTCCTCAGATAAAAGCTTTTTCCACTCTTTCGCCTATCCCGGGATTCACAAAATGGCTTGTTGGTCTCCTCTCCTCAAAAACAAAAGAACTGGAAAGAAATGAACTTTTTACAGAATCAGAATGGCAAGAAATCTCTGAGATCACAGGAGACTCTACTACTGAAATGCTAAAGAAACTCTTAAATAACAATGAGTGGGTGAGATCAGAAAAATTAGTTAAAGTGCTCCATTCACCGTTTATGAGGCTCTGTGCCTGGTATTTGTATGGAGAGAAACATCGTGGCTATGCTCTTAATCCAGTAGCAAATTTTCATCTTCAGAATGGCTCTGTGATGTGGCGGATAAACTGGATGGCGGACACAAGCCCTCGGGGCATTGCTTCTTCTTGTGGCATGATGGTAAACTACCGATATTTCTTAGAGGATACAGCCAGTAATAGTGCAGCATACCGGGGGACTAAACAAATTAAAGCCTCAGAGCAGGTTCTTTCCTTGGTGTCTCAGTTCCAGCAAAATAGCAAGCTTTAATTAAATATTATGAAAACTAAGAACAAGTGTTCCTTACCTATAAAGAGCTGTAATATTTTGCACTGTCTATATTTAAATGAGAATGTCCCTTATAAAACCAATTTACTCAGTACAGCACGATGCAAAGTTATCTAGATTATCAGTTGTCTTGCTTATGTTGCCATATATTCAAAACCTAATCGACTGTGATTGAGTCACTGTAAGTTCTAGATACCTGTTACGTGCAAATGGGTTGGAGGTATGTATTAAAGGGTGAGTAGAATTCTCTCAATCAGTTACAACTCAGTGGTAACTTGAATGGGTAATACTTGAGCCGTACCATTATTCTGTTGAATATAAACCTGTATAAACTGTGTCTTCAGAAGGAGCTGCACTTTGTCATAATACTGCTATAGATAGTTCAGTACCAAAGTACCTGGAAAGAAGTACTGAATGAAGGTAAATTTTTGGTCAAATATATTAGCAAAATGGTAATCTACAGTTTTATTTCAATAATATCCATCTTATTCTCCCTCAAAAACTCTCATGTAAAACCTCTGGGTATTTTCCTTTTTCAAAACCCTAAAAATCTCACTGAGTCCTAGCTTTGCTGGAGCATGGAAAAGCCTTGCATTAATATTGTTGAAAAATCAGGATCTCTCAGTGCAGCAGGTATGTAGTATTATATTTGCACTTTTGTCTACTAAAATACAATGAGCAAGAAGGAAGCGTTCAAATAAGAGGGGAATAAGAGATTATATTATACTTTGGTTCTGGTAATTTTTTAAGTTGATAAAGAGCTTTTTTAAGAAAGAGGTAGGTGTGACCTGTAAACCAATAAAATAAACTTTCTCAGCAAATCATGTCTTGTGTATTTCAGCATGTACCTTCCTTCACTTAACAGCCCTCCTTGATAGCAGTATCGCCACAGCAGAAGGACCATCTTAACAGAATTTCATGCTGTTTTGTAATTTCTGATTTATTCTGTGTCTGGTCAAATTCCAGTCCTGTTTTCAAGAAAAGAATTATACATAGGAATTGAAAGTGACAGAGTTCCTGCTCGTGTATGAAAACAGCAGTGAAGAAAGCTGTAAGTGTCCAATTAGCCTTTCTCCTAGAATTAAATTACATAATTGGATACACTTTTTTTCATGTTGATTATTAGAAAAAAATCCCATCCTCCAAGCTGGTAACCTGTTAAGGGAATCTATTATATATATCTTCCATGCAGGGAAAAGCTTGACTGAACTTCTGTTGATGGTAGGTTTTGCAACACTGATCGTTAGAGAGTGTACATTCACTGCCTGTTAGTCCCTTGAGAGCAGACGTTTGTATACAGCAGCTGGTCACCGGTGGCAGTGATGCCACGTTAGCAGTGGCGCCTCGCCTGTGCCATGTTGCCTTTGTTATGTTTTTAAGAATAGTTCCAAAAAAGGGGCACCCTATTTAGTCAACAGCTTTCTCATCAACAGGTTAAAGTTAGTTTATTGATTTTGATCAGATACAATTTAAAAAAAAAACAACCTGTCATCCCCTTGCAAGCAAGATGCGTCCAGCAATTTTTCAGTTGCCAAAACCACTAAAGAAAAGTTGAGTTCCCCTTGAATTGTGGTAGCATTCTGGTGCATATACCAGGGGCAATATGGCATAAGCCAAAATACAAGTTGCGTTTTTTGGAGGTTTTGGGGTTTTTTTACCTTCTCTGGATAGCTTGCTGAATGTGCACTAGGAAACACTGTAGAAGTATAAAGAAATCTGAAGATTTATTTGATTATACTTTCTTTATTCTCAACGGGGGAGCTAAGGACTAAGGATCAAACACTTAAAGCATTGGAAACTTTTAGTGAGAGACTTTGAACAAGCAACTCCTGCTTGTTCCCTCCTGGCCAACCTGAGGGAATAACTTGAGAGTGATTGTCAATTTTTGCTTTTGGATCAGTAGTTATGGTAAGTAGTCTGCACAAGTATGTATGTGTATAGCATGTATAGTCTTTATAGTACTTCATATGGAAGGTTTTAAAATTAAAGTCAATGGTTCATCCTCAAGAAATGCTGAAAGTTAATTGCAGGTGTGGAACAATTGCATGTCCAGAGGAGACTTCAGGCTGGAAAAGAGACAGGGGTTGAAGGCAGCTGGACGATTGGAGTCAAATGTATATAACCTTTTGGATTAATTAAGACATAACTTCACCTGGCATGGCATTGTTACATGAAGGACCTGGTTGCCACTTCTATTCCAAACCCCACATTTTTAAGGAATTACGATAATTTTGTTAAAGCTCCGTCTGAAGTTTGTTGTGCAAGTTTTAGACCTGGAACATGAACGTTAGGGAGTACACAGTCTGTGTGTGTGTGTCTGTATTTAGCACCCTGTGTAAAAGTTACTAAACAGTAGCTATCTCCAGTTTAGAATACCAGACCTGTATCAGAATACCAGACTGAAGAAACTACTCACACATTGCTTTTTCTTTTCTTTGTATCATGTGCGTTTTGTTAGGTTTTTATACAGAGCCTTAGAGTGAACATACGCACATACTGTATTGGTACAGAAATCTTCACCATACAAATTACTAAAGGACGCACTACTTCTGTTTTTAACAGTGGTCAGAAGATGGCTTCGTTCTCCTGTTTGGTTTTCTAAGCTTTGTGAACTTCTTTAGAATGTAGGTTTCAAGGTGAAATTTAGCTGCTTATATAAGTATGTACCAGCCATCCTTGGCTGGGAGGAATAGAGAAAGAGAACTCTCTCTCTTTGTTATGTTAAGCTCTTCAAGTATGAGGAAACTAGGTCACTTCAAATGAAAGAGTTCTGAAAATGCAATGATTTTGAAAGATGTTTTCATTTTGAAACAGGAGGAACTATGAGGGAAATTAAATGTGCATCCACCTGGCCATAGTTCAAAAAGAGCTAACGCTCCTGCTTTACTGCAGATGGAAATACAACATAATCCTATATTCTTAACAGCTGGACTCAAAGGATACTGCGTTTTTTTCCGCTTGTAGCCCCAAACAAATGTATGAGAATCGGTTCAGTGACATGAAGTGATAGTAGGTTATAAGGAGGAAGAAGCAAAGCTGCTAACACTTTGTTAACACTTTAATTATTTCCCTAGACCTCTGGCTTCTTATATCTAATACAGACACTACAGATACACAGATCTGCCCTCAGCTTAAGGGAAGTGGGCATAGCTCTTTTTTTCTTCCTACCAATCTTAAAATCAGGAAGATAGATCTTGGCATTCAGACATGTCAAACCAGCCATAGGAGCTTTTCTCTAAGTCAAACCTGTACCCTGTGGTGCCAGGACTGATTGCTCAGCTGCTTACCAATGTAGTTGGCATGTCACGAACAGGCACCCCTTGCACCTCTCCTCACGCCTATGCCACATTTCTCTAGGCGTTGAATTACCAGTCACTCCTGCATTAGAGTAAATTTAATTTATTCATATTCACAGGAGCTGTTCTAAGGTGTTTGAGACGTGGGGCTGAGAAGCAGATTACAGGCAAAGATGTAGCAGCATCTTACTGGAGCTATTGTGGATGAGTACATTTGTTATGTGACATCTGCTCTCCATCAGAACCCTAGCACCTGCAGGGTTCCTTTTCAACAGTTGTTATGGTTTTGGTTATTGGTTGTGGTTTGCTTTCTGAGGTCACTTCATCTGTTCTATTAATAAATTAGCAACGTGAGGCCAAAAATTCCTACGGTGAGTTCTGTATCAGAATCACAGTACAAATTTAAGTGCAAAAGGAGCATTTGAAGATGAAGGTGGGACAAGTCTTCTCATAAAAGCCATCAGCTGTTAAGTGCTATTAGTTTTCTTTCATTGGTTGTTGACTCTTAAGTGTCTAGCAGTGCTTGGGTTTTCCAACTTGCTACTAAAGAGTGATTTTTAGCATGAACAATGCTGAAGAGAAAAAAATATTCACCACCTGTACTACTTAGGAGGACAACAACTATGTTACTAGAGAGGGATCTTACTCTGTCAAAGTCAGTCTTCACAGCTCAGAAAGAAGAGAGAAGTCCAGTTTCTTTTTCTCCCCTTCAGTGCTGGCAGGGGGGTACGCCACTTCTAAAGAGCATGCCCGTAATGTTAAAGAAGAGGTAACTGCCTGTCCTTTAAGGAAGCTGAAATACTAGAAGTTCTTGAAGTCATTGCTTCCTGTTACTACAGTAATGTGTTTCAAACAATGTATTTTAAGATTAATGTAGGGTATGTAATACTGCACTGTGTTTCACTTTGAAATGTCAAGGCTGAAATCATGAGTAAATTTTCCCTTCCGTGGATTGTTCTTTGGATAAAAAGCCAATAAATACCTTCCCATTTTTCTGAATGGCTTCTCAGGTGATTTCATTTCATAGAAAACAGTGTTTTATTGCTAGTGATTGAGAAGTCTTGCAGCCGTGCGTGGGTCACGTTACAAAGCTGGCTGCACTGCATTGCGAGCTCTGAACTGTCCTGCGTGAAAGCTGCCATGGTACCTCACAACAGAAGCTGGCACAGCTTGTGTACATCAGAGCCATGCTACAGCCCTTCCCCTTCCCATCCTGAATATTGGAGGCTTCTTCAATGTACCTCTTGGGAGTCAACTGTTCTGCAATTGTTACATTAGTGAAAGTATCCCTGTAGTTATCGAGGCTTAAGCCTTTAGAAGCAATGGTATCGATAGCTGTAGAATAATACCCAAAGGTTGTCTTGTGGGTGGAAAACTGGCATTAATAAAAGGGCAATAGCTTAAAATCTATCACTTCTTCCATCGTTAGATTCTAAAATAAGGCATAGTAAAGACTGAGAATTGTTTGGTAAAGTTACAGCTTTTACTGGCTTACGTCTACTTTTCAGCGCTTTCACAGTTCTAATTTTATTCTAGTATTCGAACAGGGTGACATGCAAGTTTCTGCACTGGGTAGGCGGTGGTTTTGAGTGCAGGTTTTTAACCAGTACTGCTGAACTGAACGTGACACTGTAGGTCATGATGTAACACTGGGGCAGTAAGCAGCGGTACAAAATGTGAAGTATCTGGGCCATTATATAGGACTATAGCCTGTAGGACTTCACTTTTAAGTCAGAGTTTATTTCAGCCCTTAAAGCACTGGGAGGAGGCATACCATGTTCAGGTCAGGGGCTGCTTTGTTTTCTACCGTCATTTATTTTCTCGGCTGCCCTACTCAGTGCAGGTGGTAGCAAGCAAAATATTCCTAAGTTACGGTGCCATTTGTTCCTCACAGAAACACACCTGACAGCAACTCCTGCTAGAAACCCCTCCACGATGAAGTGATGTGATTGCCTGGTTAAAAGCACAGGTTTTGCCAGTAGGCTTTGCTGACAACCCTGGCCCTTCAACCTGCATCCCTGACTTCTTCAGGATGCCTTCTGCTACCAGGTGCCTAGAAAGAGAAAGCGGTGCTGGTTTCAGAGGCTGACTTCCTCAGCAAGCAATGGTAGCTGCTGTGCTGTTAGATGCAGCATATAAAAGCATCACAGTTTCACAGCTGCATCCCGCTTTTGAAAGCAAATCGATAGAAATGATGTTACTTCGTCACTTACGCTTGTTTTATGATCAACTTACACCATTTTTCTTGTCACAGGTGTAGGGCCTCTTGGTACAAGTTGTATGGAGTCGAGTAGGACCGGTGTTCTAAAATGGGCCCTGGATGGGTAATGAGAGGCCAAAATACTGCTTTGAATGGAGGATATTCAGTTTATTTGCAGATGCTGAGCCATCACAAAGTCCTGTTAAAAGAAAGGAGTAAGTGCTTCTTGAATCAGACAAACTTTCCATGTATATCACTGTAGTTTATTTTAGTTATTGACTGCCATAACCTACAAAACATGCCTCCTGTGGTCT